CCAATCCAACAATCCTTACTCCAAGAAATTTCTCCTTCGTTTTCAGGTGGGGCTATTTCACGAATTCCCTCCAAACAACTTTTCTTCCGAACTGTACTATCCCATCATTATAAGAGTAAAATAATTAATATACATACCTAACATGAGCTAGAAAAACGAGATAATCAAAACCAATTGGGGTGAGGCTAGTTTAAATAAATTACTTGTAATCTGTGCCACTGACAAGAAATTTAATGAGGAACTCCTTCGCCTTCGCCGCCATCTAACACGCCCACCTTAGTACAATTGCTAAATTGGACACGAATAATGCTTCAGATTATCAATAGTAGCATTCGATACAATATTGGGTATCCCAAATTTTATTAAGGCGATGTAAATATCGACAGTGAAATTTACCACAATGAAATGAGGAAGCCTCAAGTTTCCATAGAAATAATCTCATGCGACATCGTGCGACCTACTTTGTTCATGGTGGTTATATTTCAAATTTCATTTTTAGATTAACTTAAACGAATCGGGGTGGCTCAAGTTAATATTAAACAATTTATTATGCGAATCTCGAAACCTACTTATATCAAGGTTAACACAGATTATAACTTCTTTTTATCAAAAGCTTAATATTATGGGGTCGCTTTTTTGGTTGTAGTCGATTTTGCTGTATTTAAGTGGTTTGACCTCTTTTCTAAATATGTTCTTATTGTTTGGGCGAACTTGGTGAACACGTCTCATATTAAGTCCTCTGATCTTACATTAACAGAATCTTCGACAATGAGCCTTCTCAGGCTTTCAGCCAAACAATACCTCGTTAAATCACCAAGTAAAGTCCATCCCTTGACTAACTTTCTGCTGAACGGTTGTTCAACCTGGATGAAAACAACTTTTGGGAAATCAAGACTATGTGAAAGTTAATGGCAACGTCATCTCTACCCATATATCAGTCCTTCATCACCTTAAACGAAAAAGAGTGAATACATCTCATATTACTGATTTACTTATAGTCTCGGAACTGTAATAGCATACGAAAAATGCATTACTTTTTTTATAAGTAAGCTTCCGAAAGCCTACTTATTAGACAAAATGAACACTTACACTGAATGTGCAAGTTGTTCTGACTCCGAGACCAGGCCCAAAGCGTTTGTGATTTCACGAGAGGCCAGTTCTGCAGCGGCAGCCAGAGCCACAGCAGCGTCGGGCACTCGACTCACAGACGGCTCGTCATGGCAACACAGGCAGCAGGAGGTACAGCTGCAACAGCAAAAGCAACTCGGGGAACTACCAAAGCACTGGATCCCTTGGGCATGCCTGACTTGGCATGTAGCCTCTGTCTGGACTCCTGCGTTCCGACTTATGCCCTGACCATCTTGTCGCATCTCATCTTCTTCGTCTTCCTGCTTTGCCACTTTCTTTCCTGCCGATGCCAGCCCCAAAACCTCCTCTGCATGGTCTATCGTTCGGCAGCCATCGGAGACCACCTTCACCGGTTGGCCGGTCGGACGAGGTCTGATGGCGCGGAAGTTCGCTCCGACGGCGACGGTTGCGCCTGAAGCTCGTCGCACAAGATGCCGACTTAAGGCTTCTCCTGTCCTGCTGGACGAGATGTTGAAGGGAGGCTGCCCTGTTGGCAGATGATAGGCTCCGGAAATACCGGTACAAGGGTCTCTGCGCGCCACTTCAACGAGGATCGGCTCGGTTGCGCCGCGGAACACTTCAAGGGCGTGAGCATGCGTGGCTCGCTGAAGGTCAATGCCATTGACCTGTGTACAAAAAAGTGAATTAACACAAGAAGAAAAGATTAATTTTATCAGTACACTTTAAAAAGTCACCCGAAGATTTTAGATCTGCATCCAAACTTATAGCAAATGCTACTTTTACATTTTTTAATTTACTTATTTTTTAATAAAAGCTATTTTTCGCATATAACAACCATATTTAATCACTTGGATCAAATAGTAGGCAAATGAGTTTGGCCTAAATGTAGCGCAATTTTGAGCCTCCTTCTTTTTCTGCTAGTCACAAGCCATTTTAGTACATTTTAGCCCTCTCTTGCAGAGCTCCCCGCACTACGCAACTATAGACAAAGTTTACTTCATTTAGGAATGCTTTGGGAGGTGAAGACGCAGTAAAATTTTAGAGAAAATTGGATTGGTAACACTCGCGGAATTACTATTTATTCTCCTCTATGATAGACAATAAATTAAGCTTTAACATTCTATTATCCATTCCTTCAATTTTAATTGCCGTTTATAGACAACCCGAGTCTAGATAGGTTTGTTATTTGCTGCATGTTATCATTTTAAGAAGATGAACGATGCTACTAGCATACATTTATTTGAAATGTTGCATTTAACCTATCATTGCCAGAATCTTGTTGCCTGCAGCTTTTTGTGTTTCTTTTGCACCATTTCTGCTTCGTTCTGTACATTTCCCAAGCTCATTTCATGCCATGAAAATAGTAGTCGCCTCTACTTGAGAATTGTCCAATTTCTAAATCAGCGGAACCTCATATGTGCGAAAAACACAAAGACTGCATCAAAGAAGCCAGCAAGGAAGACATTCTTCCAAGATTCACATCGAACCTATCAATAAATTTACCAAAAATAGCTTTTTATCTCCCGAGTTTTAGAGCATCCTTAATGTGCGTTAAGGAAGGAACTTTAGCCTCCGTCGTAACGCCTATTATCTTCTCTATTAATCCAGTTTGGCAGGATGAATTATGATGGGTGCACTTGAATAGACACGCATAGAACAAGTTCTTTAGGTCTCTAATCTTACAAATTACTGAGGATTCCGCAAGATACAACAGCCTCCTCTCCCCCAATAAAAGATGTGCTTCAAAAGAGAC